CTGGGACAAGAAGAGAAGCAAAAAAATTTCAGAAACTGCCCTGGCTTGTTATTAAAGCCAGAGGCTATGAAAAAGGCTGAAGATAAGAGATGGCATTGGAAAGTCTTAAAAATTGTATGATAGAACTGTCGTCATTTCTTGCTGCTCTGTTCCTTCTATTTATCCCACCCGGGTTCAACAGGTTTTTGAAGATCTACAAAACCCTGCAAAATACATCTGACCATAAATATTAATGGTTCAAAGAAATAAGCGTGCAGAAGCCACAGTACATTATGCATTAGTTTTTAGCGCTCTTTTTGAACAAAATAGAACACAACAGCTAAATATGACATTTCATTCAAATGATACCATCATCAAGAGTCAGATTTTACAGTTATTCATAGAAGCAAAGAATAATGAGGCTGGAAGAACCTCTAAAGCCATTGAGTCCAACCTCTTGCTCAGTACAGGAATCTGCATCATAACAGATCTTATAGATGGTTGTCCAATTTTCTCTTGAAGGCCCCAATGTTGGAGCTCTCATCACCTCCTGAGGGTATGGGTCCCATTGTCGTACTGCTCTAACAGTTAGGAAGTGTTTTTTTCCTGATACTCAGCCTAAATCTGGCCACTCCAGGCAGAGAGCAGGAGGACGGGTCTCCCCACATGGCTGCTAAGTGGCCAAACAAGCAGGGAGACAGTGGAGCTACTGCTGCAGTTGGTGGAAAGAACAGGACCTTCGCGGCACCAGGACGCATGAGTGGATGAGCCGGTTCCAGGGGCCGGACCTGCATTAGGTGCAGCTGGGACGGGGATATTCGTATTTGTTTACAAATCCCCCCATCTCTAGTCCTGAGACTCAGGCTTTGAAATATGTTCTCCAGCTGCCAGGCTTTGAACTGGAGGTCACAGCAATTGTGAGGCTATCAATCTGGCACCCATAAATTTTTAAATTTGGGGGTTCATTTTCCTGGCTTCAGGACATGCCTCTTAGCTATGCTCAGAAGCACCCTGCTCTTTTTCACTCCCTTGAAGAATGAGGCCATTCCATCTGGTCCTTTAAAACGGCCACAGTGCCAGAGGACTGGAGGATAGCACATGCCACGGTGATCTTTAAAAAGAGACAAAACACATAGAAGAACAAGCTTTGCTGAGGGAAAAGCAGCATGGCTTCTGTAAGGGTCAGTCACGCCTCAGAAAGCTTTTAGAATTCTCTGAAAAGGTCAACAGGCAGTCAAGGCTCAGAAAGCTTTTAGAATTCTTTGAAAAGGTCAACAGGCGTGTGGATGCGGGCGAACCAGTGGATATGGTCTCTCTGGATTTTCAGAAGGCGTTTGACGCAGTCCCTCACCAAAGGCTGCTGAGAAGACGCCACAGTCAGGGGATAAGAGGGCAGGTCCTCTTATGGATTGAGAATTGGTTGAGAACCAGGAAACCGAGAGTAGGTGTCAATGGGCAATTTTCGCCATGGAGAGAGATGAAGAGCGGTGTGCCCCAGGGATCTGTCCTGGGACCGGTGCTTTTGAACCTGTTCATAAATGACCTGAAGACAGGGATGAGCAGTGAGGTGGCCACGTTTGCAGATGACACGAAAATTTTCTGGGTGGTGAAGATGAGAAGGGGTTTGTGAAGAGCTCCATAAGGATCTCTCTAAACTGGGAGAACGGACGGCAAAATGGCAAATGTGCTTCAGTATAAGAAAATGTAAAGTAATGCACATTGGGGCAAAAAAAAAATCAAAACTTTATCAGCTGAATGGCTTCTGTGGTGTCTGTGATGGATCAGGAAAGAGATCTTGGTGTGCTGGTGGACAGCTCGATGAAAGTGTCAACCCAGTGTGTGGTGGCAGTGAAGAAGGCCAGTTCCGTGCTAGGTATCATTATGAAGGAGATTGAATATAAAACAGCTAATATTATCATGCCATTGTACAAAACGCTGGTAAAGCTGCACCTGGAGTATTGCGTACAGTTCTGGTCACCGCACCTCAAAAAAGACATAGTGGAACTGGGAAAGGTGCAGAAGAGAGCGACTCAAATGATGACTGGGTTGGGGGCCCCTCCCTGATGAGGAAAGGCAACAGCGTTTGGGGCTCTTTAATCTAGAGAAAAGGCGCCTGAAGGGGAACCTGATTGAGATGCATAAAATTGTGCACAGGATGGATAAAGTGGATAGAGGGAAGCACTTTTCCCTCTCACGCAATCCCAGAAGCAGGGGACATCCACTCCAGTGGAGTGTTCGGAGAGTGAGAACAGACCAAAGAAAATATTTCTTTACCCAGCGTGTGGTTTGTCTGTGGAACTCCTTGCCACAGGATGTGGTGACGGCATCTGGCCTAGATACCTTGAAAAGGGATAGATTTTTGAAGGAAAAGTCCATCGCAGGTTACAAACCATGATGGGGATGTATCATCTCCAGGCTTAAGAGGAAGGTACTTCAAAATGCCAGATGCAGGGGAAGATGGGAATCAGGAGACAGGGTCTCTCAGTTGTCTCGCGTGCTTCCAGAAGCATCTGGTGGGGCCACGGTGAGATACAGGGAGCTCGAATAGATGGGCCCTTGGCCTGATCCAGAACAGGGCTCCTCTGATGTTCTTAAAGGGGGAACCTGATAGAGATGCATAAAATTATGCACAGGATGGATAAAGTGGATAGAGGGAAGCACTTTTCCCTCTCACGCAATCCCAGAAGCAGGGGACATCCACTCCAGTGGAGTGTTCGGAGAGTGAGAACAGACCAAAGAAAATATTTCTTTACCCAGCGTGTGGTTTGTCTGTGGAACTCCTTGCCACAGGATGTGGTGACGGCATCTGGCCTAGATACCTTGAAAAGGGATAGATTTCTGAAGGAAAAGTCCATCGCAGGTTACAAACCATGATGGGGATGTATCATCTCCAGGCTTAAGAGGAAGGTACTTCAAAATGCCAGATGCAGGGGAAGATGGGAATCAGGAGACAGGGTCTCTCAGTTGTCTCGCGTGCTTCCAGAAGCATCTGGTGGGGCCACGGTGAGATACAGGGAGCTCGAATAGATGGGCCCTTGGCCTGATCCAGCAAGGCTCCTCTGATGTTCTTATCTGGAACAACAGTCACCCATCTGATGAGTCATCCATTTGCCCCATGAGAAATGGAACCTGTGGGTTTCTCATTGTCTCTGTGTTTTACTGTTCTAGTTTTTTTTGTTCTTTTGAATCAGTCACTCCTCAGAACCTCAAAGCAGATGACAAAGCACATCACACGTTGTCCTCTTTGAGACAATACATCATACCCAATACACATTTCAATACTTGCACCCTCTACATGTGCTAACCTTCTGTCTGCATACCTGTAATAAAATGGATTCCTCGTAGAACGCTCTGGTTCATATAGCAAAAGTAAATTCTACATTTTGGGCCGCCACATCCTGACAAACAGGCCCTTTGGGGGAGAAAGAAGCCTCCCCTTTCTGAAAAAAAGGGATGGCCTGGATTATTTTTTTCCAAAAAAATTGCACCCTCTACATGTGCTAACCTTCTGTCTGCATACCTGTAATAAAATGGATTCCTCGTAGAACGCTCTGGTTCATATAGCAAAAGTAAATTCTACATTTTGGGCCGCCACATCCTGACAAACAGGCCCTTTGGGGGAGAAAGAAGCCTCCCCTTTCTGAAAAAAAGGGATGGCCTGGATTATTTTTTTCCAAAAAAAAAAAACCTCTGATGTTCTTATCTGGAACAATAGTCACCCATCTGATGAGTCATCCATTTGCCCCATGAGAAATGGAATCTGTGGGTTTCTCATTGTCTCTGTGTTTTACTGTTGTAGTTTTTTTTATTCTTTTGAATCAGTCACTCCTCAGAACCTCAAAGCAGATGACAAAGCACATCACATGTTATCCTCTTTTAGGCAATACATCATACCCAATACTGTACACATTTCAATACTTGCTCCCTCTACATGTGCTAATCTTCTGTCTGCACACCTGTAATAAAATGGATTCCTCATAGAACGCTCTGGTTCATGTACCAAAAGTAAATTCTACATTTTGGGCCACCACATCCTGACAAACAGGCCCTTTGGGGGAGAAAGAAGCCTCACCTTTCTGAAAAAGGGATGGCCTGGATTATTTTTTTCCAAAAAAAAGAAAAAGAAAGAAAAGAAAGAAAGAAAGAAAAAGAAAAGCCAGTGGAAAGGTATAATTGATGCCGCTTCTACATGAAATGTGTTTTAATTAAGACGGGCCACTTCAGGAAATCATAACAAAGAGGAAGAAAAATAAAAAGAAGGGAAAAAATGCAACCTTCAGAACGCGGCCAAAGAGCCAGAAAACCCCACAACAACCATGTAGGATTATTGTTCATCCACAAAATGTTAGGTCTCTGGCTGTGGAGCCAGAGGTTGGAAATTCAATTAGCCACTGTGACTCCTGTGAATAGAACCAGCCTGGGTGGCCTTGGGCAAGCTGCACAGTCCCAGGAAGTCCCAGAACATGACGATGATAAACCACTCTTTAGTACCCTACCTAGAAGACCCTGAAAAGTGTCTCCCTAAGTCAGAATTGACTTGACAGTGTATTATTATTATGCATCTACAGTACAAATGAAAAACCTCCCCTGCTGATTCCTGAAAAGCTGTTGGCTTTATAAAATAGCTGCTCCTCATTTGTTGATATGACCCATGTACCTGACCGTTTTTGGATGTTCTTCAAAATGGAAGGGCTGTTCATGGGCTCCACCATGATGAGTGCCTGCTACATGATCGGGCTTGAATAAAACGTGTTTGGGGAATGTAGTTGGTCGCACTGTCCAGTGTGCAGGCCAGCGTTGCCGGGAAGGTGCTAACCTCATGAGCAAGCCACTTCCTTGCTCAGCGATGTGACATTTTGTGAAAAACGAAACTTCCTGGATGAGTCGTCCTCACACCTGAGAAACGTTTTCAGCTGTACATGGGGCGAGAGGGTTGAATAGGGAGATTTAGAAAGATATGGTGATCAAACTAAAGACAGGCTACAGTTGTTATCTTGAGCTTTTTCTCCACCCCCTGGCAGTTGAAAAACACCCTACTTGGTAGAGTCAAGCCAGGGAAAAGTCCCCAGTCCTCTTCAAGAATTAGTTTGAAGGCTCACGAAGACATGAGCAGCTTCTCCATAGTATCTGGGTTGTTCCTGACATGGGGTGTGCTTCAGTCTGGAGAAGGTAAGTAGCAAATTGGACTGTGTCAGTAATGAGGGCTATCACCCAGTAGAAGGTGAACTTTTGGCTTGGTGGTGAGTAGGGCTTGCCATGAGAAAGTGAGCGGGTCTTAAGAAGCAAAATATGTCTGGGGTTGACACCTTGTCATGAGTTTGCCCTGGTCTACGGGATGCTTTCAAAGAACTGCGTACCTGGAAGGGGAATGTTTTTAATAGAAGGAAAGACACCTCTCTCTCAATATGAAATTTGGTCCACAGAGCCATAAATCATGCAATCATATGGTTAGAGCGTATGAACAGTGAATGAGGAATCCATTGCATTTGCTCATGAGTAGGGTGAGGATTTCTATGACATTTCACACTTTCTCTTCAACCTATGCTCGAACTCACAAGCACGTTTAAATATGTCTATGAGTAATCTGGCCTTTCTCACCAGATTGCCCATGAATATGTCTGAGTTCCAACAAACACCAACAGAGCATGGACAGAGTTCCTACTCCAGTCCTCTGAAGATGCCAGCCAGAGAGACTGGTGAAATGTCAGGAAGAACAACCTTCAGAACACGGCCAAAGAGCCCGAAAAACACACAACAATCATGTCTGAGCCCTCTTATAAATTCAAATATACAGGCTGCAGAAAAAAATATGACATGTCATAGAAATCCTCCCTCACTCATGAATAAACGATGTATTTGAATTGCAAGTGATGCCTGGATGCAACATTGCATCTTTGAAGGCTTCATCTTAGAAGAGTCTTTCTATTCCATGGGAGGAACACTGGAGCATGTTCCTTTTAAAATACTGCTTGCCATCTGCATTATTTTAGAATTATATGTTCTGAAATTATATATAAATCAGATCTCTGACTTATTTTAATGGATGGGCAAGTTGTTAATCAAATGATTAATTGATAAATAGATGATTACAGACGCACTATAACTAAATCATATTTTGGCCATAAGTAAATAATACATCCAGTAATTTTATGAGAAGTGGGAGAGTTTGCCGTTTTTTGGTACTCTGTGCTTTAACAACATGTTCTGTGAGAGAAGAGGTTTTTCCTCCCTGTAGTTCCATAGAAGAAAGAATCCGATTGATCTCTCTGATTATAGGTGCAGAAAGCGTCTGCCAAGGAAGAGTTAGTAAAGGGGCTGGACCAGATGACCTTGGGAGTTCCCTTTCTGTTCTGTGCCTCCGTTATTCTATGAATTACGGGTGTGTAATGATGGAATGATCCATTTTAAGCATCTCCTCTGTGAGGCTCCTTTCTTGCTTTGAAGAGTTGTTTCAGCAATCTTACATTTACTGTTAAAGGCAATGTTCAAGTTGTCATTTCTAATCATTCTGTCTGGTGACCCTTCCTCAGTGTAGTTCACATGGACCACCCACATTCACGATATACTTTAAAAAAAAATTTAAAGGCACTTGTGCTTTAGCCATGTGCCAGGAATGTAACCAACATCCTTCTGATGAGCAAAAATGTGCTGCTCTAATGCGTGGGATTTCTTTTATTCCAACATTAATTGTCAGTAGGATTCAGGCCATAGTTATGGGTATGGAGGAGGATAAGAGGAGAGAATACTGAGTGTGTGTGTGTGTGTGTATTTACAGTCTGGGATAGATGTACTTTAAAAAATAAAATTAAAAGTTTGCATTTTTATTAAAAAGCCATCAGATGTGCTGAACTGTTAGCTGTCAGCCATAAGAAAGTATGTGACTGCTTCGTATGTACGGCTTACATGTTTTAAGGCTACCCTCCCTTCTGTAATGGAGCAGCAGGCTGTGGCTTTTGCAAAACTGCTACCTCTAAAATAGTTAACCACAAACTTGAGCCACAGATAATGTAATGAAAGCAGTACGATTAAGTTAAAAAAAACTGACTGTGTAGTGGATTTTCACTTTCTCTCAAAACCAGACATATTTTCTTTCTTTTTTTTTAAATTTTCCAACAGAAGATATAAAAACATAGATATATAGTACAATGCGCATTTAAACAGTAAAGTGTAAGAATCTCTAACCATCGAACGATAAACGAAGATATTTTAAATGCAAAAAGGAAACAAAAAAAGCCTAAGGCTCAACATAGAAGCAATCCGGTATACTCGAATAATTCATCCAAAACAGTTTGAAACAGTCTTTATGAAAATATGTCTGGAAGAATGATAAAACCAGACATAGTTTCTTAAAGACTTCGTACTGTTTTTTAAAAGCCGCCAGTAGATGGAATATCATCTGTTCTTTAAACCTCTGCCCTTTAACGGCAATCTTCCGATAACCCGCACCCCCTTATCCTAAACTACTCGTTGTAAAGAGTAATCTAATTAAATGACTCACTAAAGAGTCATACTACAATTCTGAGATCAAGTGTGTCTAGTTTCAGGAGCCTATAAAGGACACTTAATGGTTTTAATTCTCATGCCTCCTTTTTGATATTTGGCTTCTTCTCTTTGCTCTAAGTTATCATCATCATTTTAGAACTGGAGGGGATCCTATAGATCAGTGGTTCCCAACTTTGAGCAACCCAGGTGTTCTAGGACTGCAGTTCCCAGAAGCCTACATTACCAGCTTTGCTGATTGGGGTTTCTGGGAATTGCAGTCCCAGAACACTTGGGTTACCCGTGGTTGGGAACCAGTGCTATAGATCAGTGGTCGCCAACCTTAGGCCTCCAGATGTTCTTGGCCTTCAACTCCCAGAAATCCTGGTCAGCAGAGGTGGTGGTGAAGGCTTCTGGGAGTTGTAGTCCAAGAACATGGGGAGGCCCAAGGTTGGGGACCACTGCTAGAGATCACCGAGTCCAGCTCCTTACCAAGGAGACGCAGTGGGGAATTGAACTCCCAACACCAGATACCTAAACTTAACGGAGGAATATGTCAGCATGGCTGTGAGCTAATTCTGCACAGTGCTAAGTAACATATCCTTGGAGAGGGGTGTCCCACAGAGATGCTGTATTGTTGGCCAGCAGATTAAATCTGATGGAAGACTCTGCTTTATGTCATGGTCAGCCTGGTGGCTGCCTGTTTTCATCCTGTACTTTTTAGCACCAGAAGGTAATCACTTTGGAAAGATTACAGTAATTTAATTTCTTTTTCCGCTGTGCAAACTTGCACACATTCACATGTATCAGGTGTATGAGGTATACCAAAGGATTGGCCAGGACGGTGACTATCACCATTTGCACCCATGTACAATTGTACACGGGACGTGGTGGCACTGCGGGTTCAACCGCAGAAGCCTCTGGGCTGCAAGGTCAGAAGACCTGCAGTTGTAAGATCGAATCCACACGACGGAGAGAGTCCCCGTCGCTTGTCCCAGCTCCTGGCAACCTAGCTGTTTGAAAGCACATAAGAATGTGCATCGATAAATAGGTACCACCTCGGTGGGAACGCAAGAATGCGTGTCGATAAATGGAGACCACCTTGGTGGGAAGGTCATGGTGTTCCATGTCTAGTCGCACTGACCAGGTGACCACGGAAACTGTCTACGGACAAAACACTGGCTCTACGGCTTGGAAACGGGGATGAGCACCACACCCTAGAGTTGGACATGACTGGACTAAATGTCAAGGGGGGGAACCTTTACCTTACAGAAGAGAAGGGCAGTAATAGCCAGGAAGAGGATGAGCAGATGACCTCTTTGGGGAACCTTTATCTTACAATTGTACACTTCTAGTGCAAATATTTTTCAAAGGACACTCAGAAGAGAAGGGCAGTAACAGCTAGGAAGAGGATGAGCAGATGACCTCTTTGGGCAAAATTGGTGATGCACAAGGGGGCCAAAACTGAGGCAAGGCAAAAATGCTGGTGCAACCCAGTTGTGAATACAGGCACTCTAAATCCACAGTATACCCACACTGAAAATAAAAAAACACAAGCTGTATCTAGGATTTATGGCATATGAAAACCCCCAAAGATACAGCACTGAGATTGCATTTTGACTGCCATAGGGCTGTATCTAGGATTTATAAGGGCATATGAAAAACCCCCAGAGATATAGCACTGAGATTGCATTTTGACTGCCATAGCGCCATTCTGTGGAGTTGTGGGATCTGTACTTTCGTGAAGCATGCTCACCAAAGTGAGACCTTTCCAAAAAGGAATTTTAAGTACTTCACCAAACGACAGTTCCCAGGTTCCCATCGGAGGCAGCCGTTGCAGTGTCAAACTGCTAAAACGTATCCGTATATACACCCTGACAGAGTACAGACAAGGGAGAAAGGGGTGGCTCTTTATGGAGGGTGGTGGGTGAGCATGCATTATCTTATTAAAACAGCAAATGTACTTCACTGCCAAAATGCAGTTGACGCTAATGCTCACCTTCAATTTGAAAAAAAAAGAATATTTACATGTGATATTTACAAATATATGTATGTTTTGATTGAGCCTTGTGATGTCCAGAACAGTGGTTTTTGACAGAGGAAGATGATCCAGGACCCCACCACAAGCTTGGAAAAGCTCCCCCAAAATTGTTTTAACAAACCAAAATTAGAAATGCAATCACTTCTTGATTTGACTCCGCCCCCCCACACACACACACACAAACCATGCTTGGACATTTCTAGTCCATGGGGAGGGACAGGGGTGAAAGTTCTGCGGTGTGCATTTGTGTGTGTGTGTGTAAGGGAGAGAGACTCTGATGCTCAACACACCATTCCTTTCTTTCCAGGGAAATGCCCGGCTCCCCCTGTTTTTTCTGCTGCCACATATTTTGCTGAGCGGTATGTCGTGGGCACAAAGGTGAAATATAAATGTGAAAATGGTTTTCTGAGAAAAGCGGGCATAAGCAATCTGATTACCTGTGAGATTCAGTCCGGTCTAGCCCGATGGACCTGGAATAAACCCCCAGGTTGCCATGGTAAGAAGTTACCTTTCTCAAAGTCTGGGCATCTCTTCCTACTTTGGGGGTGCAAGCAGATTTGTCCAAATGTGGACCTTCACTGTTTTGGTTTCTGGTATTCATAATGGGTTTATATTGCCCTTTAATTTTACTACCTTGAGCCCCTTAGAACTTTTCATACTTCCTAGCTGATGGATGGGGACGTGGTGGCGCTATGGGTTAAACTGCAGAAGCCTCTGGGCTGCAAGGTCGGAAGACCAGCTGTCGTAAGATCGAATCCGCGCGACAGAGGGAGCGGCTGTCACTTGTCCTAGTTCCTGCCAACCTAGCCGTTTGAAAGCATGTAAAAATGCGGGTAGTTAAATAGGGACCATCTCGGTGGGAAGGTCACGGCGTTCTGTCTCTAGTCACGCTGACCACGTGACCACGGAAACTGTCTTCGGACAAATGCTGGCTCTACGGCTTGGAGACGGGGAGGAGCACCGCGCCCTAGAGTCAGACAGGACTGGACTAAATGTCAAGAGGAACCTTTACCTTTGCGAACCTGATGGAGCTCACCCTAAGCAAAATAACAACAAACAATTAAAGAAGGCAAAAACGTTGCGGCACCTTAATAACTAACTGCTACCTTTGAAGGTGAGCTTTCATGTCTGAGGAAGTGGACTTGTCCGTGAAAGCTCAGATGAAAATGGAGCAGTTGGTCTTTAAGCAGATACCGTTTTTGTTCATTTGTTCGTTCATTTGTTTCAGCCAGATATGCTAGCATAGACCAACACGGCTACCTCTTCTATAACTACACCTGAACCAAGACTCTCTGGTTTGGGGGTAGAGAAATGCATACCCAAAAAGAACAAAGGGAATAAATGGTCCACGTTCCTCAGCTGTGCCCGGAACTCCAGGTGAAGAATATCTTTTGACTCACAGGTCTTTTCTGTTCAATCACAGGACTTCCTAACTGAATAAACAGGCCACTCCTTCTTGCCTAAGTATTGCCACAACATTGGCGTGCCAAAAAAAGCACCGTGCTTCTATGACTTGAACAATTGCACTGAAAGGGGGACTTCCGTAGGTCAAGCTCCATCTCAAAATTCACCTGCTGGAATCCCTTCATGTACATAATTATTAAAGATACAGGAAACCTATATTCTTTTGCATCTGGCCACCCTATACTCTTTCCCCCATTCTTTTACAGCACAGAGGGGTATTAATCACCTCTCCACCCCTGCCTCCCACAGTCCTAAAAACCGCGAAAGGAAATCTGTTATTAAATATATCATTTAATAATAGTGGGGTCTCGACTTACGAACGGCTCGGCATACGAACGTTTCGACTTACGAACCGCTCTCATAGGAATATATGGACTCGACTTACGAACTTAGATTCGAGTTACGAACTCTTTTTTTCCTTTTTTTAAAAGCTAAGTCATCTTAGGTTAAAAGGAAAAAAGAAAAAATATCCGCCTCTAGTGGCAGAAGGCGGAATAGCAGCTTCCCATTAGTTTCTATGGACGAAAAGAGCAGATACGGATTAAATAGTTTTCAATGCATTCCTATGGGAAATGCAGATTCGACTTAAGAACTTTTTGAACCTGAGAACTGCCTTTCAATACGGATTAAGTTCGTAAGTCGAGACCCCACTGTAATGGACTCTTTATGTCAATGACCGTAGGCCAAACTGAACATTACAGACAATCCATCCTTAGAGCTGAAATCATATCAGCATTCCAGCGACAGGCGGGTTTCGTTCTGTGAGAATTCAAATTTGTAGATAAAGCCTTTGTTTTGCTAAACTCATGAGATGAGAAAAACTGCTGCTGAGATACTCAGATGCTGTTTGGCAGTTAAGGAATTTGTTCTTCCAATGACAGGTTATCTGTAACCTGTAACTCAGCCTAGTGTGACACTTAGCTCAACAGAAGAAACTGTTACACTGAATTAGAGCATTGCTCCAAGTAGCCAAGTGTTGCCCATGCTCTCAAGAAAGAGTTTTTCCAAACTTAACTGGCAGGGGCTTCCCAAACTCAAGTGTCACCTTTTCCCATCCATGCTACTTCATTTTCACACACATCAATCTCTCCTTTTCCCATCCCATTCTTGTTAGCAGCAGCAATGGAGCACCAGAGGCTGTAGTGTATGGGAGGGTGCCCCGCCAGTCTCTTGACCCATAGACAGCCACTGCTTCTGCCATTAAATGGCCACCAATACTGGCAAGATCCAAAATCCTTCAGCAATTCCATGACACAGATTTTCAGCGGGGGACAGCAAACTTTGTTACTTAAGTTAGGGATGCATCTACACAATTTCATTACCCAGTCATTCCAAGCAGATAGCTGTGTTAGACCGTTGCAGCAAAAACGGCAGAGTCTGGTGTCACCTTCCTTGGCGACCGACAAATCACAGCTGGCTGGCGTACATTTTCGCACACCTGCCCAAATCTGCAGGTGCATCTTACAGAGAGGGCAGCAGTCCACAAAAGTGTGTAACACTTGTTACTATGCTTCCCCGAAAATCAGACAGGGTCTTATATTATTTTTTGCTTCAACAAACACATTAGGGTTTATTTTCATGGGATGTTTTTTTTTTATGTGCAACCATCTACAATTTATTCAAATGCAGTCATGTCTTCTTCTGGTTGCTGCACAGTGGTGGAAGGTGGGGTTTCACTTAACTAGGGCTCATTTTTGGGATAGGGCTTATATTACGAGCATCCTGAAAAATCATACTAGGGCTTATTTTCAGATTAGGTCTTGTTCTTGGGGAAACAGTGCCAGAAGACTCTGCTTCTTTTATTGGCTGAGATCCTGTTAGCACCGTAACTATGTAGCACGAAATTTTCATGGCAAATTTCTGCAAATGAAGCGTAAGCATTTCCTGTTGCATACCAACAAAATGTCTTAGTGTGCAATAAGAAATGCCTTGTGTAACTTATTAACATGCGACACCAATCAAAGAAATGTACGATAGGATTCTAGCCAATGTTGTTTTGTATTTTTTTCCTACGTTTCTTCCCTTTTTCTCTCTGCAGAAAGTCCAAAAGCAGTCTGAAATGCCTCTGTTTTTTACATCTGTCCACATTTCTGCTTCCAGTCACTTCTGCCTGTTCATGATGTTCATGCTTGTTAGAGATTCTGGCTTAGAAAGAATGACAACAGGATTATATCTTTTAACCCTTCTTGTTTTTTCCCCCCTCATATTTTGCACAGCTATGTCTGAGCTAACACACGGTTCTACAGAACAGCCTTCAACAAAAAACTGTGAAGGAAGTTCCAACCATTGTCAACCAACTACCCAGCAAATTACAGATGGTAAACCTGACTCAATTATTTTATTTTGTTTGATGGTTTCTAAGGAAGCACATTCCTACATCTTGCTGAAGTGGTACTGTAAAGAAAAGCAGTTTTAGCACAATTTGAAGATAATTTCCACAGGTTAAAGCAATTCAGCACATAGAGTGTGTTACAGTAATCCAAGTGGGGTGTAACTAAGGAAGGCATGTCTCACTGTAGCCAAATCAGATATCTCAAGGAATGAGCGCAGCTGGCACACCAGTTTTAACTGTGCAATAACACTCCTGGCAAACCACCGAAACCTGGGCATCCAAGCTCAGAGATGAATCCAGAAATACAAACAAGCTGCAAACCTGAGTTTTGAGGAGGAATATAACCCCATCCATAGGGGTGCGGTAGCGCCGCGGGTTAAACTGCAGAAGCCTCTGGGCTGCAAGGTCGGGAGACCAGCCGTCGTAAGATCGAATCCACGCGACGGAGTGAGCGCCCGTCACTTGTCCCAGCTCCCGCCAACCTAGCCGTTCGAAAGCATGCAAATGCGAATAGATAAATAGATACCACCTCGGTGTGAATGTAATGGCGTTTCATGTCTAGTCACGCTGGCCACGTGGCCATGGAAACGGTCTACGGACAAACGCTATGGCTCAGAGACGGGGATGAGCACCACGCCCTAGAGGCAGACACAACTGGACTAAATGTCAAGGGGAACCTTCACCTTTATAACCCCATCCAGCACCAGTTGTATCTCTATTCTTTCATATGCTTTCTAGTTGACCAGAAATGCTTTTGTCTTATGTAAATTTCAATTTATTTGCCCTCATCCAGTCCATTACTGACATCAGACACTGATTTAGAACTGAAACAGCTTCCTTAGAATTAGGTGGGAAGGAGAGATAGTGTTGGGTGTCATCCGCATGCTGGTGACACCGAACCCCCGAACTCCGGACAGCCTCTCCCATGTTAAAAAGCATGGTAGGGAAGCAGAACCTTGAGGGACTCCACAGGCCAATGGCCAGGGCGTTGTGCAGGAGCTCCCTGGGACCACCTTCAGAGTTCTCCCCTCCAGGAAGGACTGGAGCCCCTGCAAAGCAGAGCCTCCGAGTCCCATCCCAGAGAGATGGCCCAGAAGGATACCATGGCTGATGGTATCAAAAGCCATTGAGGGGTCCAGCAGAACCGACAGGGACACACTCCCCCTGTCCAGGTCACGTCGTAGAATGTCCAGCAAGGCAACAAAAGCTGTCTCCATCCTATAGCCAGGTCTGAAACCAGATTGAAATGTGTCTAGATAATCCGCTTCCTCCAGGATTCTCTGGAGCTGAGAACCCACCACACACTCCAGGACCTTGCCCAGGAATGGGATATTTGAGACTGGCTGATAGTTGTCCGGTCAGTTGGGAGCCAGAGAAAGCTTCTTCCATCATGGTCTTATTACTAACTCCTTTAAGCAACCTGGGATCCAACCCTGCTGCAAGGAGGCCTTCACTATTCCCCCCATCAGCCATTCCCCCTCTGGCTGCTTTTATGAGTCAGGAAGGGCAAGGGTCTTGCAGAACCCATGGGGTGGCCTTCACCTCTCCAAGAATCCTCCCCATGTCCTCAGGCTGCACCAACTGAAAAGTATCCCTTAAAACAGGACAAGCCGGGGCCAGAGATGCATCCACAGGGCCTGCATCGATTATAGCCTCCTAGTCAGAGCAGATCCGAGCCACTTTGCCTGCAAAGTGTTGTGGAAATTCCTGACCATGGATAATAACAGTAACTTGCTCCTGGCTACACTCCTACCTGTCTTTTCCCCCTTTCTCCCTGCACTTTCTAGGTTTGTGTAGAGTCCCACAGCCTCTCAGACATGCCACGGCCAACGTGGTTGCATATCAGGTGGGCCAGAAACTCGTGTACAGGTGCCTAGCTGGAGATGAAGGACCGTTCGTGAGCACTTGTGAAGATGTTGGTGGAAAGGAGACGTGGTCCTCTTTCACTCTCCGATGCACCCATGGGAGTAACATGACAGAAGTGTTACGGAGCGATACAACCCCTGTGACCAATGAACCGGCCAAACCGAGCCCCACCTCAGGTAGGACGAGGGTTGGGGAATTCAATCGCTTACGAATGCAAACTCCAAAATACTGTTTCGTTTCAGGAGGTCCCAGGTTCCGTCAAGGGCCAAACGAGGTCATACGGTTTCAGGGGTGAAAGCGTGTGGAAACATGTGACCTCAAAGACACAGATGTTGGCAAGTCTTTCAGTCCAAGTCCTAAGTCTATGTCTTTCGTACCGAGTCCTGAGTCCCAAGTCTGAGTCGCTATCAAGCTTTTTTTCACCCCCTCAGGAAAAAAGTGAGGGCGGGAGGGTTCCGAGTTGTGAATCAAATCTTTGATGAAAAATGGAGTGAGGCGAGTTCAAAGCAAGTCATAGGAGTCCGACTTGAGTGCCACGACTTGAGTCCTCATCTCTGCCCGGAGGCATGTGGTCTTGATTTTTTTTATTTAATTATTTA